CTAGGAAGGGTTCTGGTTGTCCCAAACGTCTTCCATTTAAGGATTATGGAGGCGACTGTGCTCTTAGGAACCTTAAGTGCAGCAGAAATTCTTTTTTTTTTTGTAACCTTTGCCAGATCTGTGCCTTGCCACAATTCTGTCTCTGAGCTCTTCAGGCAGTTCCTTTGACCTCATGATTCTCATTTGCTCTGACATGCACTGTGAGCTGTAGGGTCTTATGTAGACAGGTGTGTGGCTTTCCTAATCACATCCAATCAGTATAATCAAACACAGTTGGACTCAAATGAAGGTGTAGAACCATCTCAGGGATGATCAGCAGAAATGGACAGCACCTAAGTTAAATATATGAGTGTCACAGCAAAGGGTCTGAATACTTATGACCATGTGATATTTCAGTTTTTCTTTTTTAATAAATCTGCAAAAATGTCAAAAATTCTGTGTTTTTCTGTCAATATGGGGTGCTGTGTGTACATTAATGAGGAAAAAATGAACTTAAATGATTTTAGCATATGGCTGCAATATAACAAAGAGTGAAAAATTTAAGGGGGTCTGAATACTTTCCGTACCCACTGTATTTGTGTCTCCATGTTTTAGGCCCACCTCTAACCACCATGTTCTTCTTCTGGTATGTGGTAATCTTAAGATAGAAGATAAGGCATCTGCACGTGTGATCAAACCTTAACCAAGCTGTCTCTAGGAGCTTTGAAGCTTTACAGAAGATTTCAGACACAAACCAATAAAGCTTAATATTTTGATAAGCAGACAGGAACACATGAGACTTCTGCTAGAAATACTGGATATTTGTAATTGGTTTAGTTAAAATTGCAAAGTTAATAATGTTTTAATTATAGGTATACATTTATTTCTTTGTTCCTCTGTGATCACTTTGGAGCTTTCGCATGCACCTTGATATAGAAAACTAAATTCACATAATTTAATAAGCCTGTAATTTCCAGGCTTGTGAGAATATGGGGACCTAAATTGGTTCGTAGACTAAATGCTGAGCTTAATTGTTAATTGTCAGTAGGATTCTGTGTGTTTCTTGGTAATCCTGTGTTGGTTGTACATGAGTAAATGAATGTCTTAATATCTTTATTTTCTTATCTGAGTTATTCTTTTTATATAGTATCTTAAAAATGTAGACACTGACTGGTCTAGTTTAACTAGTCATTCAAATGTCATAATGGTCAGACTTTGAATTTGTTTATTTCCAAATGTGTTGTGCTAACTAGGGCTTTCCATAGCTCTGTTTTCTGTAGCACTGTTATTATTTTTACAATTTAAAAAAATCAGTGCATCATTAACATTGCAGTTCATTGATTTAATTTAATGGAATGATATATACACATCTTTCAACCAATACGCATAATTAAAAAGATCAAAACTGAATTTGATTTGCTCAGTAATCTAATTTAAGTTAGTTTTCATTTATGTTTTTTAATCTCAGTAAGTGCACATTAAAATACTGTTAAGAGCTCCATCTTTCCTACGTATCTGCTTGATTTCACTTTGCAGTAGGGGTTAATTACATCAGTCTTAATGGTAAAAAAAAAAACTGTGAGTGTAAGACTCAAAAGTCGGTAACCTTAACTAAATATTTGTCAGGGATAAATATATAGCGGATGTGGATTCTGTTTAGAGTACCCAAAGGGTGAGCTGGGGAGTTAATTCACAAAGGTGAAGGGTTAGAAAATGTATCAGGGTTAATAGAACCACTCATTCTCCCATGATATGAAAACCCTTGTCAAACACAATTTTCACCTCTATGTTTTTGTGAAACGTTTCTGTTTTATTTTTTGGATATGTTTTCCACTCCGCGGATGGTATTGGATGGTACAGTATTTACTGTAAGTGCACCACGTAAAGTCTTAATCTGTGACATCGCCACTGTTGAGGATTTGTGCAGTGTAAGATTAGGGCTCTGCCTCGTCATAAATCTCTGCGTCCCAGTTCGACTGTGTGGCGGCAGGTGCGGCAGTTGCTTGGTATAGGCTGTGCTCTGTAGATTTGGTGCTGAAAGCCTTTGTCCATCTACGTAGGGTCAGCCTCTGAAGTTTTTTTTTTTTTTTCTTTGAACCAGGAAACTTTAGATTCACACTCAAATCGCTTGATGCTCTGTCTTAGACCAGATTTTTTTAGCCTTTAAAGATCTTTCTTTTTTGGGAACTGAGCTGACCCGAACTTTTTTTTTTTTTAACTCTACATGATGAACTACTGCACACCAGACATGCATGAGCTGCCTCATGGTGGGCTTGGAGGCTACACGATGCAGGGCAGTGGGGAGCACTGCATGTACCCAGGAGAAAGGCCCGGGTATGGATACTGTGAGCCCCAGCCCCTGCACCATCCGCCCTGCATGGAGCAGGCTTGGCCGTCCAGCCAACCCTGCTTGTGTTCATATGCTGGTGGCCCCACAGTTTTTAAGAGGGAGCTTTGCAATTTGGAGGTCCCACTTAGTCATTTCCACCTTCAGCCTGAGTATTTCTCTGAGGTCAAACCTGAATTCTCACACCTGCAGTGGTTGCAGGAGGTGCACAAAAAAGGTATGATATCTGGATTGTGATTGATTGTGTCATCTTGGTGAAGCGGTGTTTATGGGTGGGCCAAACTGCTGCTTGCACACTTTCAGGTTTTGACTTTTGAATTGGCTAATGAAATTGTTTTTGTTATGTGGTTGTCTCTCTGGATTGTGTGTGTGTGCTGCATGCTTTTTTTTTTTTTTTTTGTTTGCTTTTTACATTTTTGGTAATTAGCGATGGCTCCTCCTGGATCAATGAATCTCTGGGATTTTGACATTAAATCTGACAAGTGTAATTCCAAGTCTTAGCATATCACGTGGTGGCAAGTCTGAGCAGGACACGGCACATCTGATGACCAGTGTTTGTCTGAGGTAGGCAGGGGCTCCTTATTGATTGATGGTGAGCAACAGAAGGCGGATGCAAGCTAAATTATTGGTTTCTTCATAAACGCCAGAAAAGTATTGATCATTTTCCTGACCTCCGACCTGAACTCATTAAGCTGGATCTCTAAAACGGGCCGGGTGTTAGCTCACTGAGTTAACTCGAAGCAGTAAGTGCTATGGAAGTCACTGCTATACAAAGATTAGACATCTCCTTGTGTGACTCTCCGCAGCAGCAGTCTCCACCCAGATGCTAATTGACAAAGGTACCAAAAATATATATCTAGATTTTAAATAAAACATTAGCATTACAAAAATCATGTACATTATATTTTACAAGTTATTGTATTATCATAATATTGTTATAGAATTATTTATATTTAATATTGTTTTTATTAAAATTCCTACTTAATTAAGGTCAACACCAATCAAAATATGAGCACCCCACTGAGTAAAACCAAAGCTGTCATGAAAAATAGTTTAGAGTGCAAATCTAGTGATCGTTTTTCTTTTTCAATAAACTCTAATATTAACACTTGGTTCTTCTCTCCAGGGTACATACCAAGTTACCTGGACAAGGATGAGCTATGTGTAGTGTGCGGGGACAAAGCCACAGGCTATCACTATCGCTGCATTACCTGTGAAGGTTGCAAGGTAACACAAGCGAGTCTGTACATTTGTTCGCTCATCACCATTTAAAAGCAGTTTTGAGCATGTGGCTGTCCGCTCTGCTATCCAGGGTTTCTTCAGGCGGACAATCCAGAAGAATCTCAACCCTAGCTATGCTTGTAAGTACGAGGCGAAATGTGTCATCGACAAAGTGACCAGAAATCAGTGCCAGGAGTGTCGCTTCAAGAAGTGCATCGCAGTGGGAATGGCAACCGACTGTAAGTTTATTAGGCCAAGATAGCCTCAGTCGTACTGTGGATGAAACTATCTGCATTAGCCTGCTCCTTGATATTCTTTCTGCTTCTTTGTTTCTTTTAATGAGGAACATGAACACGTCTAAAAATGCTAACATTTGCCTTTAAAAAAAAGTGCAGAACATTAGAGCAAATTTGAGTTAAAATAGCAAATTTTGACAAATGTACTTCTGAGAATTCTCTGGTTCTTGCTTGTAAAATATCAGGATGAGGTTTCTTGTTTTGTTTTGTTTTAAGCAAGCACATTGAATACTGTCACCAAGGGCTCTGGGACGCTGCCACTGCCATTTCTGACATTTTAAGAAATCAAGAAAATGGTTAATCACTTATAAAAAGAACTGTTAGTAACAACTGGATAAAACAGAGAAGAAGAGAAGTCGATTATGCTGCAGGAGTGGTTCAAGAAGTTTCTGTGCACATTTTCACACTTTTTCCCCTTTAAACACATTGGAATCCTTAGTAAATGAATAGAATTTGAGTCACGGGTCTTCTCCGAGAAGGAAACTACCAACTTACATCAGCCACAGTCCAGGCCTGCAATGAGAATTTGATACTCCAAATAGCTGCAGACTTTGAGTGGAGTATCACAAGAGTCGCATTGGAGAGAGCTAGAGAGTGAATGAGGAGAGAGAGCAGCGTTTACCAGAACAGTCAGAGCATTTTAACTTTATTTTGTGATTGTTTCACTGTGAGACCTGAAGCATGAACAAACACAGCCACACTTCTGCACAACTCTGTGTGAAGGATTTTGTGTGAATGCAGCCAAAATGCAGGCTTCTCTGCTCTGCTGTGTGTGTGTGTGTGTGTGTGTGTGTGTGTGTGTGTGTGTGTGTCTATGTGTAGCCCTGCCCTCGAACAGACACACCTGAAGGTGTATGTGCTGACTAGGCTACTGTAATTTCCAATTTCCATTCATAAATATATTAAAGAAAATCAAATAATAGCAGATAATAGCCCATATGTTTTGTATATTGACCGTGGAGTACACTGGCCATTGGATGTCATGATCGGCATCACGCCTCTAGTACCAGGATTCCAGCAGCTGTGTAAAACATACATGCCAGCTTTTTTAAGTTCATTGTAAAAGGGCTAAAATCAAAAAAGCCGCTTTTGAAGGAGGGTCAAAATACTGACGGTTTGCTGTGATCTTTGTGTAAAAGGGGCTTTGCAGTGTTTACCTCATTGTAGTTAAAGTTTCTGTGAAAAGTACAACAGTTTAAAGTCACTGAAAACTTCAAGAATACAACCATTTAAAGAGTAGTTTAAGAGCTACTTGTAAATATTGTGTACATTGTTTACTACACTGACTATAACTCCCATGCATTTGCAATGTGCTAACAGTGTTCTGCTTCCTGTGTACCACTCAGTAGTAAGGTGTCACCTAGACTGTGTAAAAACCTGTGTTTGAACAGTCAGTTTCTGCCTGATCTGGGTCTAGGAGTTTGTGCGGCATACCCTGGATTTCCAGCTTTATCACCAGTTCAGGATGTCATGCTTTTCCCTCTTCCCCCTTTTCATTACTGTCTACTCTTATTGTCTCCCTTTTTCTTCTGCTGCTCCTACCCCCTCCCTCCACCCCAGTGGTGTTGGATGATAGCAAGAGGCTGGCCAAGCGGAAGCTAATCGAGGAGAACCGGGAGCGCCGCCGGAAGGAGGAACTGCAGAAGACTGCATGGGACCGGCTGGAACCCACCCAGGAGGAGTGGGACCTCATTCGTATGGTGACCGAGGCCCATATAGCCACGAATGCCCAGGGCAACCACTGGAAGCAGAAGCGGAAGTTCCTGGTGAGACATTCTCCTCCTCCCTCCCCACCCCTCCTCACCGCAGACTTCATTGTATTGATTACCCTGCCTTGTCCAATCCACCTCCTAGCAATACCTCTCCCTCCCAGACCCCTTCCAAGACATCCCCCATCTCCTCCACCTCCACCACAGCCACTGTTCCACTGTGCCCTGTGTTAATGTCCATGTGTTTTTTGTATCTCCTTGTAGAGTGGGGAGAATTAGCTGGACGATGGAGAAAAGTGTTCTTCAGCACAGCAGCTCTAATTTATAATGGAACATCTCCTTATCTTTTTATGTCTTACCAAGCAACGACCCTTATTCGCTAATACTAATAACTTGCTCTCTTTTCATTGCTTTGCTTTCTCTCTTTCTGTTTGTAGCTTTTGGTTTCACACCTCACCCTTCTTTGACTAATGTTGCTTTCTTTTTTGTAAAGCCTAATCACTGTCCAGATTGAAAGGCTGCTGTTGACTTTATTTTTTGTTTCTATGGTACGATCAGAAGGAGCACTTGTTAAGACATAATGTTTCATTTATGTAATTGCTTTAACCGGAAATTTTACACATCTGTTATTTAACACAGATATAGTGGAACTTATTTTATTACTTTCACGCTTTCGGCGGGTTACATATAGATTTTTAGCCGTGTCCTATGTCTTCGTTCACAGTCACAGAACCTTAAATGCTATTAATTATCTGCAGTAAAATAATAGATTCCAGGTCTGCTGTTAGGGACCTGAGACTGTTCCTGATCCTGAATCTCACCATAGAAACCAGTCTTCTGCCTGCACCTGTTTTCTATCTGTACGCTCTGCTCTGTTGTCTGTCCTCAGTTTTAACTAGTTTTCTTTTTAGTGGGCTTGACACGGGTTCTTCATCGAAACTTCACGATTCCTGTTGATTATCCAACAGGTCGAGGAAACTATGCTTCTTAATGAAATAACATGTAATTTATTCTATACTTCTGACCAGAGTGCCGCGGTGGTGATGGAAACTAAGGTAAGACACAGCAAACAAAACAAAAATATTGAAAGTGATGCACTGCTTTTGAAGTTGGGCCTGATACTGTGTGTAGCATCCTCCACAGTAATTTGTAGTCATTTACATGCAGAACACATTTGATTAAGTGCAGTAGGTAAATGAATGCTACATGTCTTGAGTATACTTACGTCATATTGCCCAGTAACCTTAAGCAAAAGTAAACCCCACACTCAAGTACCTCCATTGCCTTATTGACCATTAATGCTTTACACTCCCTGTCTTGGAGATTGTCCAGACGCTGATGCTGCCTCTCCTTGTCGTTTCAGCCTGACGAAATTGGTCAAGCGTCCATGGAGAGTGCACCTGAAGGAAACAAAGTGGATATAGAAGCCTTCAGCCAGTTTACAAAAATTATCACCCCTGCCATAACCCGGGTGGTGGACTTTGCCAAAAAACTGCCTATGTTTTGTGAGGTAAGTGTAGCTGCTTATTTAACAACGCTTCATATAATGTGAATAGAGTTCATAATGCTCCCTCTGGTCCAGCTGTTGTTTGAGTTCCTAATACTTTGGTCAAGTTACAGCAGAAGTATTGTAAAGCCAGCGAGATACTTGGTCAGTATTAGCGTATAACAGATAACATCTGCAACAACATGAACGTCAGCCAGTAAGAGACTCTGCAGTACAATATGCCAAAGATGTGTTTCTGGTAGACTGGGTCACCATTACATGTTTTGACCAGCAGAGAGCGTTGAATGTATGGTGTGCCACTCAGTAGATACTGTATGTTTACCACGTTTTAAACAAGCATATTTAAGGTGTCCTGACAAAAATGTTTCTTACCGTTAAAAATGTTAATTTATAGTCACATAGGACTCAAAACAATAATTTTCTAATGTTTGTATTTTCATTTTTAAAGCATTTTAATAAACAAATTATCTAACTGGGTTACTAGAAAAATGCAATACATGTAGAACAACAGGGAACTTGCAGAAAATCAAACCAAAAGAAGTTCAACATGTAGTTCAGATGTAAAAGAGACTGTACAAAAAGTGAGTGTCAAATGGCTGATTTAGAAGAGGAAGAGCTGGCAAAAGACTAATATCCATCTGACTTTGGTTATAAAAATGTGTCCGCTGTGACACATGGCAAACAAAACATCAAAGCCAGTAACACTAAAACACTGCTCTGTGATTTCCTTATCATTTCTTGAAACCAAGAAAAAATGTGACTTGATGGTGATTTTAAGGTTCTAATGGTTTTGTTTTTATCTTTCCATAATTTGAACAGTATCTCCCAGTTTTAAACTCACAAGGCAATGCTAGATTAGCCATTTTCTTCTGTTAAAAATGCTTATCTATTTCCTTGTATGTACTCAGCTGCCTTGTGAAGACCAGATCATCTTGCTGAAAGGCTGCTGTATGGAGATCATGTCACTGCGAGCTGCTGTTCGCTATGATCCAGAGAGTGAGACCCTCACGCTCAATGGCGAGATGGCAGTTACGCGTGGGCAGCTTAAGAATGGAGGCTTGGGCGTTGTCTCGGATGCCATCTTTGACCTCGGCGTGTCACTGGCCGCCTTTAACTTGGATGACTCTGAGGTGGCTCTTCTACAGGCTGTCATCCTGCTGTCATCTGGTAAGCACCTGCTGTCCGAAATCTCTTTACACATGCATGCATGACCTGATTAGAGGAGGTCCGTTATATCTTTTATGTAACTATCAAATTTACAAAAACTAACCTAAACAAAAGAATCAGATCCATCCATAAATCAAAAAGTCTCTTTCTCCATTGGCTCAAAAATCAAATCAACTCTGATGATTATTGCACTTGCTGTGTTTGTGTACAGTCCCAGTTTATTGTATTAGTTGGATTTTGAGTGTGCTCGTTTTTGGTTTTAACATCCAACTAAAGATAGAGATTAGATTAAATAGTCTGATTAAACTGTTATCTTTTCCAGTCTAATCACTCCTGTTTGTTTCCCTGTGACACCTATTTTTAGCAATGCAGCATTTTTTCTAAGATCTTGGCAATTTCTTTGCTGAACAAACTAAACTGAACTATGAAATAGAAATTTGCTGTTGTTATAAAGTGTTTTCCTTCAGTACAGTAAAAATAATTCTTATTAGAATATAAGGAGAAAAGACAAAAGATTTTTCTCACATACAGTGTAGAGAGTTGAATCCCTGCAGTGCCCTGACTGATAACATGTCAACCTCTTTTTGCCCCCAGATCGGCCAGGCCTGAGTTGTGTGGAGCGTATTGAACGCTGCCAGGAAGAATTTCTGCTTGCATTCGAACATTATATCAACTACCGCAAACACAAATTGGCACATTTCTGGCCCAAGCTGCTAATGAAGGTGACAGACCTGCGAATGATCGGTGCTTGCCACGCCAGCCGATTCCTTCACATGAAAGTGGAGTGTCCCACTGAGCTATTCCCTCCTCTCTTCCTGGAGGTCTTTGAGGACTGACCAATGGATTTTAGGATGTGTGTGTCTGTGTGTCTGTGTCTGTGTGTGTGTGTGCATCCGTCAGCGCCTGGGCACCCTGTTGGTCTCAGTGGTGGAACCAGCAGAAGGCCCGTCACAACAGACTTTCTTTTGGCACTACTGAGTGTCAGTTCATTCCATAAGGAGTAGCCCTCTGGTCTAGTTTTGGATGGAACCATTCCTTGCAGTGCGGGTACATGTGAATATCATTTTGTTATTTTTGTTGTTTTTATTGTTGTAGATATAAACTTTCACCTCGGATTATAGTATAGGTGTGTGTGTGTGTTTGTGTGTGTGTGTGTGTGTGTGTGTGTGTTGATGATTGTACATTTGGCATAAGGGTGATTTTATCAAGACTCATTCATTAGAAATCATGCAAATGTTGTATTTTCCTTCCTTCCTTATGTTGAAAACTCAAAATAGCTGCTGAGTTGACACAAATCAAGACATGATTAACATTTTGTTAGCCTTTTCCCAACCTGCTTGGCATTGTTTGACCCATTTGTTGTTTAATATGTTTACTGCCACATAGTTTGTAATCCGTCAGGTGAGTATCAGCTCAGTGCCTCACCATCATACTGTGATTTGGCCAGCAACACTCAGTCTGATGGACAACAGCTCACAGGCCTTTTTAGGTCTCTGGGTAGCCAGACGCCACAGTGTTAAGAGCGTCATCATACTGTATTCCAGAGATGTCGGAATTTTGTGACAGAACAGTAACTTGAGGCAGAAGTAAAAAAAAAAAAAACCTGGACAAGATTTTGCTAAACCTTTATGAGATTCCGTTATATACATGGCAACTACTCTGTTAACACTACACGACAACACAAAACGTGTTTTTAATCCTCAAAACACAGCTTTTGGTAAAGCTTGAGCACATTACTTTCCTTTGTGGTACTTAGTTAAAGTGTAACTTGCAGTTTAGTAACCCAAGAGAATCGATGTTTAGGAAAATAATAACATATACGGTATATAAATGCAAACCACAGCAGCATTTGGACAAATTGGTCACGACGTCACAAAAAGGAGAGCAGTCAAGCTACATGACATTTAACAATTGAAAATATACTGTAGATCACTGTACTGTATTTTTTACAGTGAAGCAGTTGACAACCATAGGTGTAGTGCTGCCTGAACG